TATTTTTGGCTGCGCTGGCTCTTCATTGCTGGGGGCAGGTTTTCTCTAGAAACAGTGAGACCAGGCTACTTTCTAGTTGCCGTGTGCGGGCTTCTCATTGCAGTGGTTTCCCTTGTTGCAGAGCACGCGCTCTAGGATGTGCAGCCTTCAGTTGCTGCAGCTCTCAGCACACAGGCTCAATAGTTGTGGGCACACGGGTTCAGCTGTCCCGTGGCATGCAGAATCTTCCCAGACCAGGGATCAAACCTGTGTTTTCTGCATTGGCAGGCAGCTTCTTAATCACTGGACCACCAGGGAAGTCCAGAAAAGTCACTTTTTTTAATGGAGGAGGGGATTGTGATTAGCTAGGTGAAAAAATGAGGACTTTTGGGTACTGATAACATTCTATTTCTTGGCCTAGTTATTAAATACTTAGGGATTCACTTTGTTTTTCATTAAACTGCACATTTGTATTTTCTGTATCCACATTGTAATTTATAACAAAATGGTTTAAAATGTATAAAACACTCACCAGGTAGTAGATACTCAATTCAGGGCACCCAGTATGACATTAAAAAAAAATGGAAGCAGCTGATTTGTGACAATCTCCAAGAAACATAGCTAAGTGGATAAAAGAGCAGAAACCATTTGTGCACTATGCTCTCCCATTGGTTTTAAAACTGGGTTACACACACACACATTGCATGTGAATAAAACATCTCTAGAAGGCAACATCAGAAAGCAGCGAGAGCAGTAATCTTCACTTGTGTAGGGTAACATGCTGGGGACTGTGTGGCAGGCCAACTTATTTTCACTGAATATTGTATACTATACCCTTTGAGGTATATATGTATATATATTTCCTATTTTTAAAATTTAGAAATTTAAAACAAACAAAAAAAAGAAATTTAAAACATATCAAATATTATCACTCAAAATCTACAGGTAGCTCGTTATGTTCAGTCCTTCCTCTTTTCTTTTTTAAATTTATTTGGCTGCACTGGGCCTTAGTTGTGGCATGTGGGATCTAGTCCCCTGAAGAACAGGGATCAAACCCAGGCCCCCAGCCTTAGCGAGGGTAGAGTCTTAGCCCCTGGACCACCAGGGAGGTCCCCTCCATAGCTTACTGTACTTCAAAGGAAAACTTAAGACAGAAGAAAACTTAAAACAAGCATTTTATGTATAAAATACTTTATAATTAATCAAGTACCTCAATCATAAATGGCTTTGTGAGGAGGCAGAATTACACCCATTTTACAGACTAGTAAACAGAGCCTTGGAGGGATTAAGTGACTTACCCTAAGTCACAGCCAGTTAGTGACAGGACTGGAACTCGTTTTTATGCCTGCAAACTCCATGATCCTTCTTCTCTATCACGCTGACACCATATACCCTCCTAAATGCCTTTCACCAAAAATATTTATGTGAAGAACAAAAAACACAGTATCTGTTACTTTTCACTTGTGTGTGGGGAAGGTTCTTTATTAATTATTAAAGTCATTTTTTAAGTGAAAGACAAAGAAACTTATTGAATGACATATTGCACTATCAGAAGTACTAAAACATCTTATATGACTCATACTTCGTATTACTCCCAGCTTGGGTATTAGGGAGATATACTTTTCTCTCACTCTCTTGTTATTTAATGAAGGCTAAGAAATTATTCCGTCTCTTAATCAAAAAAGACATCTATGCAGCCAATACAAGAGAGTAATTAGATGTAAAACTTTTCAAACCTTTTCCAAAAATTTTTGTCAAATTCAATGCGATCACCAAATATTATTTCCCATAGAAAGTAATCTTGAAAAAAAAGAAAGTAATCTTGAAAATTCACTCTCAAGAGGTGGTTTTCTTGAAGAGCTTCTAAAATTTATTCGCATAGTATATTTATATGATAAATAATAGCATTACCACTACTGTACAACTTGCACATACAATATCTCATTTGATCCTTGAAACAAGCCACCAAGACAAGGAGGGACAGAAATTCCTGACATTCAATAGATGAAGAAACTGAGGCTCCGGGAGGCTGGGTGTTTCCACGGTCATATGCCCTCTTAGCTGAATATTCTCTCCAACAAAGTATGTGAACTTATCAAGGTCTAAATATTCAACTTGTTGATTACATTGGCCTTTTCCTTCTTGCTCTATGCCTTTAATTCCCTTTCAGAAAGGAAGATTTAGGAGCTAAATACCGTCCAATCCTAATCAATTGTAACTTTGCTTAGCTTTCTGAGATCAGATGGGAATAGAAATCTATTTTCTTACCCATAAGAGCACAAGTAAAATGAGCTTGTTTAAATTACTGGATAAAAATCTACATTTGTCTATCACCAATATCAAAATACTTGTAAACTGTGTAACTATTCTATATCCTAAAAACTACAGAAGTCTTATGAACCTGAAGTTCAGGATGACAACCCACACTACAGAAATTAAAAATTAACCTGCTAAAGTTCAAATTCTGGTTCCATATCTTCTCAACTGTGTGATTTCCTGGCCAAGTTTCTTTACCTCTTAGAGCTTCATACTCCTTATCCCCAAAGTAGAGGTTTAAAAAATATTTTCTGAAGGATTAAAAGAAATATTGCACTTATAGCTTTTAGCATAGTATTTAGCACTTAAATATTGATAACTTAGCACTGTTATTATTGATATTTAACATTCAGCAAACTAAAATTTACTTACTGATTTTCCTACTCAATCCATAAATGACTGCACTTTGGAATACACTATAATTTACCTAATACATTTGACTTTTAAAAATACTACAACCACCAATATACTCAATTCTCTTTAGCAGTTAGCCAGATAGCACTTTTCTAAATCTCAGAAAAGGAGAGCTGCAAAGTCTACTCCATCAATCAAGGATGAGGCTGAAATTGAGAGCTGTTTTTAATGGATATGGACTATGATACATATAGAAAATTTGCTTGAAATGATATGTAACTGTAATGTGGTGGAATGGTGATGTCTATCTTGATGATGGACTGATGTAACCTGAAGAAGGGTAGTTGTTACAGCAGTATTACAAGCCCTATGAAAGAGATGCATGATGCAACTTCAATTGTAAGAATGGAGTCAACACTGAGTCACCAGCATAACCTTTGAGGAGCACTAAAGGAGAAAGAAAAATTCCTGAGTACTGACGCCTAGGCTCAGCATCTCAGTCAACTATATGTAAGATGTTTCAGTGCTATTTAGACACAGTACGGCTCATACCAATGAATCTCAGGAAACCATTTAGTGCAAAAAAATACTGGAGTCACTAGCTCCTGACTGTCGTTAAGTCCCGCAAAATTTCTGTAAGCATCTCAAAATATTTTGTATCAGGCCTTTGACCCATCTCTACTAGGGCCTCTAAAATGATTTGTTGAATAAGTGAACTTAATTTAAAAAAAACTGTTGGGAGCCTTCCTGGCAGTTCAGTGGTTAAGACTGTGCTTCCAATGCAGGGGACATGGGTTTGATCCCTGGTTGGGGAACTAATACCCCACATGCTCTACAGAGGCCAAAAAAAACAAATTTAAAAATTTATGATGAGCATTGGCTACAGAGTCAAGCTTACTTGGATATCAATGCTAACTATCACTTAGCAGCTCTGTGACAATTAATCTCTTTGGTCTCAATTTTCTCATCTGTAAAATGGAAAATGCCAAGTATTGAATTGTAAGGACCAAAAGGCAAAAGAATAATGCTTAGCACATAGTAAGGCTAAAGTAAGTAGCAGCCTTTATACTTTTTGCTACAAGAGTATGGCATTATCCAGAGGTCTTTGTCCATTAAATACATTTAAGCACAATCAGACCTTTTCCAGAAGTGAAGGTAATAAGATATCAATGAAGGATGGAGAAGGCATTGTAAATGATAATCTGAGCCACAAAAGGAAATGATGGCAAGGAGATGCAAGACAAGGGGTGACAAGCTAGAAAAATGATACATCCCAAGGTGGGAGTGATGGCATTAGCACGCTCTTAAGGGCAGGGTTCCCACATGTGTAGGGGACTCTGTATAGGAGTCAATTACTTTGGTCAGGTCTGCCCCGGGACTTACCGTGGGGCAAGGCAATGTGGGGAGACCTGGGAAAGACAGCGGGATAACGGGTGCCGGGGCATATAAGTAGTAGGAGCCATGATTCGCGACCGGGCAGTGCCCAGACTAGGTCCCAACTCGAGAGCTGCGGCATGATGAGCAACAAAAGACCCCACGACACTAGTACCTGTGGCGGCTATAAAGAACAGAGAGATTTGTTCGGAGGTGATCACAGCATCTACGCTGACACCTGCATGCCTGGGACGGGATGGAGGCAGGGAGGAGAAAACAGTCGCTTCCCTCGAGAGGGACGGAGGAAGGTCAGGCGGGCGGGTTGTGGAGAAGGCACGGACTCAAGTCCCACTGCCTCGGGGACATCTGGCACGCCGGACGGGCCCCGATCCCCTCAGGGCCCAGCGTGGAGGTGGGACCTCAGCTGTTACCGGCGGAAACCACCTCGGGGTGAGAGGTCCCGTCACTGATAGGCAGCTGCTAAAGCAATGGAGCAGGAGCACGGGGCGGATGTTGTGTCTCATTGGTGATTGTTGGGGAGCGCCCAACAGCCAATGAGTCAGCCCGGGGGGCGTAGCGATGACGTTAGCTGCGGAGGAGGCCGCTTCGAATCCGCGGCGGCCAGCTTGGTGGCCTGGACCAATCAGCGACGTCCAACGAGCTGCGCCTTCGCCAATCGGCGGCCTCCACGACGGGGCTGGGGGGAGGGTATATAAGCGGAGTAGGCGACGGCGCGGTCGACGCTGACCGAGACTTCACAGACACATCCACTTAAGGTTTTCTTGCGTTTGAGAGGTAGGTACTGCGGCCTGTCTTTTCGGACCTGCCCTTCGCGTTGTCGACTGTTCTCCTCATCCGGGGCCCTGTCATCCTCAGCTCAGGAACCTCGGTGTGGTCCCGTGTTTGCGGCCTGTGGCTGGTTTTCCCCCGAAGCCCTATAGCTGCCTGCTGACCGACTGGCCGACGGCGCCGGAAAGATGAAGCTCTCCCTGGTGGCTGCGGTGCTGCTGCTGCTGCTCGGCACGGCACGGGCGGAGGAGGAGGACAAGAAGGAGGACGTGGGCACGGTGGTCGGCATCGACCTGGGCACCACCTACTCCTGGTAAGTGGGGTTTGAGGAGAGGGGGAAATGGGGCGTGGTCTCCTGGGCTGCCCGGAGCATCGTGGTGCTGATTCCTTCCGTTCGGTTTTTTCCGCCAGCGTCGGGGTGTTCAAGAACGGCCGCGTGGAGATCATCGCCAACGATCAAGGCAACCGCATCACGCCGTCTTATGTGGCCTTCACTCCTGAAGGGGAGCGTCTGATCGGAGATGCAGCCAAGAACCAGCTCACCTCCAATCCTGAGAACACAGTCTTCGACGCCAAGCGACTCATTGGCCGGACATGGAACGACCCTTCCGTGCAGCAGGACATCAAGTTCTTGCCTTTCAAGGTTCGAGCCGGTTTTTCTCTTCTAAATAGATAGTGGGTGGTGGTGATGGGAGTATTTAGGATTAAAAAGCTTAGGCACAAGCAAAGAGGATATAGATGTGTGTATATAATTTTATTTTATACTCCTAGTATATTTCAGAACTGAAGATAGTAAAGTTGGCAAGGAATTTCATGCGTAACTATTCTGTCGACAGTAGTTTAGGATTAAGAGACTGATTAAAACTGAAGTGGCTTGTAATTGTAAGGCACCTTCGACACCTTAAATATTTCTGCCCCAAATATTCAGCTCAAAGGGTCCAAAGTAAACCTAACTTTAGAGAAGGAAGTGAGTCTCAGTCCTCTTTCTTTAAGGTTTAAAATGTCATTGCTTCTATGTCTGAAAATAATAATTATTCTCTCAAATAGGTGGTTGAAAAGAAAACTAAACCATACATTCAAGTTGATGTTGGAGGTGGACAAACAAAGACATTTGCTCCTGAAGAAATTTCTGCCATGGTTCTCACTAAAATGAAGGAAACTGCTGAGGCTTATTTGGGAAAGAAGGTAGGTATTTTCCAGAACAGTGTTGAGCAGTTTTATTATTACCGTTTCGGATTGTGTTGTGTAGATGCTTTCATCATTTTAAAAGTCTGACATCCGTGTACATCGGTTTTAATTACTTGTATGTTTTACTGGAGATTAAACAAAATACTAGGGTCTTTTCATTTATCACTTACTGCTTGCAAGTCCACACACATAATTATTATCTTAAAAATAAAGTGATAGTTTGTAATTTAAAGTTTAAACTGTATGATAAAATGTCTACTACCTTTTGTTACAATTTTAGGTTACTCATGCAGTTGTTACTGTACCAGCATATTTCAATGATGCCCAACGCCAGGCAACCAAAGATGCTGGAACTATTGCTGGATTGAATGTCATGAGGATCATCAATGAGCCGTAAGTGTTAAATTCAAAAGTATGGCACATTTGCCAAATGTGGAAAGGGAAAAGTTAAGTAAGGTTTGTTTTTCTTTCTCATTCTTCTAACAGTACAGCAGCTGCTATTGCTTATGGCCTGGATAAGAGGGAAGGGGAGAAGAACATCCTGGTGTTTGACCTGGGTGGTGGAACCTTTGATGTGTCTCTTCTCACCATTGATAATGGTGTCTTTGAAGTCGTGGCCACTAATGGAGATACTCACCTGGGTGGAGAAGACTTTGACCAGCGTGTCATGGAACACTTCATCAAGCTTTACAAAAAGAAGACTGGCAAGGATGTTCGGAAAGATAACCGAGCTGTGCAGAAACTCCGACGTGAAGTAGAAAAGGCCAAACGGGCCCTGTCTTCCCAACATCAAGCCAGAATTGAAATCGAGTCCTTCTATGAAGGAGAAGACTTCTCGGAGACCCTGACTCGGGCCAAATTTGAAGAGCTAAACATGGTATGTTCCTTGTTTTGCTAATGAGATCTAGTTAGACTCTGAGTTTGGGACAGTGCATTTAGGGATTTTGACTATTTGTGGGTATGACAGGTATCATCACAGTGCTTGTGTCTCTTACTCTAGGACCTGTTCCGTTCCACCATGAAGCCTGTCCAGAAAGTGTTGGAAGATTCTGATTTAAAGAAGTCTGATATTGATGAAATTGTTCTTGTTGGTGGCTCTACTAGGATCCCAAAGATTCAACAGCTGGTTAAAGAGTTTTTCAATGGCAAGGAGCCATCCCGAGGCATAAACCCAGATGAGGCTGTGGCATATGGGGCCGCTGTCCAGGCTGGTGTGCTCTCTGGTGATCAAGATACAGGTCAGTCTGTCAGCATTGTCCACAGTGCTTCAGTAGCTTAATGGGAAGAGTGTTGGCTGTTGCTTTAGAAAGCAATAGAATACAAGCAGCAAGCTCACAGAGCTAGTTAAGGGTACAGTGATGACAAGACCGGGAAGTCTCAAGATCCTTAGCAGCTGTATTTAACTCACTGCTTCTGAAATGAATTTGCGTAGAACCTAACCAAGTGGCAAGATGGAGAAGATGAAGTTTTATTGATCGTGAGGACTGCTTGGTATTGCTCCTATGACTCCTGAATTGGAACTTACCTCAATTAACTTACTTTTGCAGGTGATCTGGTACTGCTTGATGTATGTCCCTTGACACTTGGTATTGAAACTGTGGGAGGTGTCATGACCAAACTGATTCCACGGAACACTGTGGTGCCCACCAAGAAGTCTCAGATCTTTTCTACAGCCTCTGATAATCAACCAACTGTTACCATCAAGGTCTATGAAGGTAATTGCTTAAATTTGTTAATACCATGATGTGTGTTTGAAGAGTTTGACTTTTTTTTTAATGTACTGTTGAAATGACTAAGGAAAGAAGCACCTGCTGTTTCAGGTGAGGAGGCCCTCATTTAGTGTTGAGTTTGGTAGAGCCAGGACTAAAATCTGTTTGTTGTCTGGCAGTGTTTCCCATTAAAAATGCCTTCTGAGCTGGCATTTTAAGTTGATAGAGTGCCCTTGCCACTGCAGGCTGTTACAGACTTAAATGTAGAGATCCAGATGTACTAATGTTTGTCAGTAACAACTAACAATTTGTGTGTGTGTGACTTCTAGGTGAACGACCCCTGACGAAAGACAATCACCTTCTGGGAACTTTTGATCTGACTGGAATTCCTCCTGCACCCCGTGGTGTCCCACAGATTGAAGTCACCTTTGAGATAGATGTGAATGGCATTCTTCGAGTGACAGCTGAAGACAAAGGTACAGGCAACAAAAATAAGATCACAATTACCAATGACCAAAATCGCCTGACACCTGAAGAAATTGAAAGAATGGTCAATGATGCTGAGAAGTTTGCTGAGGAAGACAAAAAGCTCAAGGAGCGCATTGACACAAGAAATGAATTGGAAAGCTATGCCTACTCTCTTAAGAATCAGATTGGAGATAAAGAAAAACTGGGAGGTAAACTTTCCTCAGAAGATAAGGAGACCATGGAAAAAGCTGTAGAAGAAAAGATTGAGTGGCTGGAAAGTCACCAAGATGCTGACATTGAAGATTTCAAAGCTAAAAAGAAGGAGCTAGAAGAAATTGTTCAGCCAATTATCAGCAAACTCTATGGAAGTGCAGGCCCTCCCCCAACCAATGAGGAGGAAGCAGGAGAAAAAGATGAGTTGTAGACACTGCTCTGCTAGTGCTGTAATATTGTAAATACTGGACTCAGGAACTTTCGTTAGGAGAAAATTGAGAGAACTTAAGTCTCGAATGTAATTGGAATCTTCACCTTGGAGTGGAGTTGAAAATGCTATAGCCCAAGTGGCTGTTTACTGCTTTTCATTAGCAGTTGCTCACATGTCTTGGGGTGGGGGGCAAGGAGGAATTGGCTATCATCAAAAGTGGGTTAAAAAAAAAAAAAGCTGGGTTAGGGAGTTTGTTCACCTTGAAAATGTTCTATTTAACAATTGGGTCATGTGTAACTGGTGTAGGAACTTTTTTCTACCATAAGTGACACCAATAAATGTTTGTTATTTACACTGGTCTAATTTTTGTTAAAGCTTCTAATTAGGTTAGTCATTTATTTTAAGGTTAGACTCATGTGTTGGGAGTGTTCAGGGTTTTGAGGTAAGGAAACAACATTTCTTTAAATATTCAGTCATTTTGGGAAACCTGCCTAATCTAAGAAAAGGGGTGGGAGGTTGGTACATCCATATGTTTAACTAGGCAAGGACCATTTCAAGAGCAGAGTTTTCTTGAGCATAATTGAAACTTCCTGCTTCCCCTTACCTTTCAAAAACTTAATGGTGGCCTTCTATTTACTCATAACACTTTACAACTGCTTGGATTCTTTTGAGATTTGATAAGTGATGAATCATTGATAATTTTACACACTTGGATTCAATTCCTGATTTTAGGATATGAAGGTAATATTTTTGAATCTTGGCCATGTCAGTCTTTATCTCTGGTACAAGAGAGGGATCTAGGGTGGTGTGATCTACCTTAAGCCCTACAACAATTTAGTAAGTATGATCAACAAAGGGCAGGCTGTCATGCTAACATGATCCAGTTCAGTTCAAACATAGACATTTTACACATGGGGCAACCAGCTGCAAGGTTAATTTGTGGAACAGACCTGATGTGTGATTTACTCTGAGGCTTGGACCTCTGTTGTGTTGCCCAAAGCATTTGGACAGGGGGTCTTACAGACCAGGTTCCATACAAACATTAAAAATACCTGAAGTATTGTGTGCAGAGGGGTAGGGGTTGGTGGGGAGAGACAAAGGCCAATCTTTGCCCCTGTCTGCCTGCAGTGGCTCTCAGTACCAAGTCAACAGTACACCTCTTTCTGAGGACCTGCTAATATTGAAAACACTTCGCTGGACTTCCGCTGGTGATCGCTGGCTAAGACTCCATGCTTCAGATGAAGGAAGCATGGGTTCCATCCCTGGTCAGGGAACTAGATCTCACATGCTCCAACTAAGACCCGGTGCAGTCAAATGTTAAAACACTTGAGCTTGGGAATGTCCACTCACTGATTTCTACAACTTTTGTTTTATCTTGCAGTTAGGATATCTGCAACATTTTTGTGATTAGTATTAATAACCAGCCAGTTAGTTACCTGATTGAATTGCTGATTAAAAAAACCCTTTTATCAGAGGTTTTTGCCCTGGGCTATCCAGTTGATCTCTTCACCTACTGTAGTAGGTAAGAGCCAAAGGGATACATACATAGTGCAGACAGTTTTCCAGGTATGAAAACAATGTTTCACTTAACTTCTCTGAAAGTAATTGACATTTAAAAGTGGTAAAAACATGGGTTTTATTAATCAACTGCAGTCACAATACAATCATCATAGATTTCCCCTTCTGTATTCATTCCGCCAAACACAAAACAGAGCAGTGTGTCAGCCTGACTTTCTTCATGTGAGTCACCACCTTGAGTCACTCCTTTCTCAGTGGAATCACCTTTCTCAGCATCACAGTTTAGAGTGGCTGAATTTGAATCTTCTTTCTCAGAAGTACACGTCCCTGGCCACGGAATGATACACATGGAATGGTCCAACCTTCCAGCGGGAGGAGAATTATCAAATTTAAGCAAGGTCCAATGCTGCTTTTCTATTTTGGGGGAAAAAAAGTCTGTTAAAAAATTTCCAAAAATATTCAGTGATGTGCTATATCACCTGAGCCCTAAAAGAAACAAGAAAAGTGGAGCGGGGGAACCCTAATGGTACTCTTACTGCTTTGATGATGTCATTCCCTGAAAGTCTGGTTTTTATTCCTTCAGCCTTAGATGTGGAGTGGCCAAATTGAAAGACCAAAGCGTTGTGATAGTTTTCAAAGAAGGGTGATACTTGCTTAAAGACCCACAATGAACATCTGCTCACCTATGTGATACTGGTACATCGTATTCAGGGCTCCTGTGGGAGTCATTCCTCCAAAGACATACATGTGTTTCCCCACAGCCACAGCTGAGTGAGCAGCACAGCCTGTGGGAGCTGCCCCGGTGGGCGTTAGCTTCTGCCACTTCATGTCACCTGCCAAGAGATGGAAACTGGGCAAAACCTAGACAATGGTTTCAGACTGAACCTGTCAGACGTCTGCAGCTTGCAAACCAACCCCTGAACTTCACTCACTAAAGAGAGTTCTTGAGATAATAAAGCAAGGTTTGGTGTGCACAAAAATCACTTGGGGGAGCTTGAAATTCTGTCTGGGTCGTCCAGAGAGGGAGGGAGGGGGCTGAGTCATATAGTTGTAACAAGCATCCCAGGTGATTCTGATGTAGGTGGTCTTCGGAGCACACTGAGGAATGTGATCTAAGCTTTGGTGACCATCACCATTAACTCCTTAGGAACCCAGGAGCAGGTAAGGTGTGTGTGTGTGTGTGTGTGTGTGTGTGTGTGTGTGTGTGTGTTGTGTGTGTGTGTGCGCGCGTCTTGAGCAGGTAAGGTGTGTGTGTGTGTGTGTGTGTGTGTGTAGGTAAGGTATGTGTGTGTGTGTGTGTACGCGCGCGCGTCTTGCGGAAGCATGCCTGTATGTGCACACACATGCATTCTGAAACAGTAACAGCTACTTTGCAACTTTGTGAGTGCTGACTAGACGCTTCAAAAATCTGGCTTACTTTATTCTCATGATAGCTGCATGAAATTTGCTACTACTCAGTTCTGCCTACTTCTTGCAGATGAAAAAACAGGATTAGAGACGGGAAGAAGTCCCACAGCTAGAGCTGCACTCAGGTCTGACTCCCAGATCTGTGTTCTCTACACTGTAATATGCTGCCTCAGCACCTATTTCCTACCTATTTCTGCAGATAGTTGCAACTTTTCAGAGAAGCAAAGGAGGCAGGACCTCACCGGATTTTAAGTTTTAGAGAACAACCTGGGTAGGAAAAGAGGAAAAATAACTAGGAAATAGTTCCTCCTACAAGAGAAAAGGACTTTCTTTTTTTAAAATAAGCATTAAAACCCTGTTTGCCTGCCTGCAAGGAATGCTCCTGTGAAGATATTTTCCATCTGTCAGCTCAAGGCAGGGGTCCAGCAACTGAGTTGGAAGGGAGAATCACCGAGTCCAGCCAAATATGCTTGCCAATGTGGGAATCCCAGCCAGTGTCAGCCAGCCTCCAATGTCACCAAATCAGAGAACCCACCGTTTGGCAAGGTAGCCTGATACTTGCACAGCAGTTCTCATGCCTTCTGCCCATGGTTCCAATTCCTGTAGTCTGGAGCAACGCAGAATATGTTCATTTGTTTTTCTGTTGACTTTTTTTTTTTTTTTGGTTGCACTGTGTGGCAGGCAGGATCTTAGTTCTCCAGCAAGGGGTCATACCTATGCCCCCTGCACTGGAAGCGTGAAGTCTTAACCACTGGACCACCAGGGGAGTCCCTATCTGTCCACTGTGACCTGCCAGACACTGTACTCAATGATGGAAATACACTAAGGGAAAAAGGGACAAAGTCCCTGAATTAAGGGACCTCAGAATCTGGAAGAATGACCCCAAAATAGTCCAGGCTCTCGGGACTTCTGGGGGGTCATTCAAACGCTTAAAGACAATACTCATGTTTATCCCTAACTTTCCTTTTCTCAGCATTTTTTTAACAATTTAGCATGACAGTTCTGGTTGTCCACCTCCAGACACACTCTAAAAGTTATCCACAGAATTAAAGGCTACAACTTGAAAGAAATCCAGTCCTTCGGGAAGCACAAGACACAATGAATTTTAATGAAAGAGCAGGGTTGTTGAAAGGATAAGAAAGAATTAATGGGTAGGTCTTGGGTTAGCCAGAAAGTTCATAATGGATTTTTTGTAAGATCTTACAGAAAAACTTAGACGGACTTTCTGGTCAGCCCAATACATGGCAAACACTTAGGAAATACTTGCTTTTATTATTATCACTTATTATTATTATTCAGGTCACATTTGAAAGAATCTAGTGAAAATTCTCAGAGAAGGCAATGGCAACCCACTCCAGTACTCTCCCCTGGAGAATCCCATGGGCAGAGGAGCCTGGTAGGCTGCACGCCATGGGGTCGCTAAGAGTCGGACACGACTGAGCGACTTCACTTTCACTTTTCACTTTCATGCATTGGAGAAGGAAATGGCAACCCACTCCAGTCTCCTTGCCTGGAGAATCCCAGGGATGGCAGAACCTGGTGGGCTGCCATCTATGGGGTCAGACAGTCGGACAGAATGAAGCGACTTAGCAGCAGCAGCAGCGAAGATTCTACTGGCTGATTGAGAGCAAGGTTCTAGTCAAAGTATATTTTATTTAATTTTAAGCAGACAAGCAAGCCCCCATGCCCTCTACCCTACTTACTGATATTAATGCAATGGAGATCATCATAGAAATGGTCCCCTGCCAAGCCTCCATGGATGAAGAGCTTTGTCCCTGCTGCCACCATCACATGACCATGTCGGGGGGATGGAGGTTTTCCACGTGTCTCTGGTTGTGACCAGGTCAGGGTGCCTGGAAAAATAAATCCCATGACATCAGGTGACAAAGGTATGAAGCAAGAAAGTGAGGACTATACCTAAGCCTCACCTCCCAGCAAGCGGAGATGCACTGAACAAAGAGGGGCCTGGGGGTCATTCACTGCGACTCGCCAGCCCAACCCAGGCCTCCCTCCATCCACAACCCTTACAGCCTCTGCTGGTGTGTGTCCAGGACTGGAGAATTCACTACCTAATA